CGGTACTGAAATTCGTCGCCAGAGGACGTGAAAGAGAGAGGCACGAGAGGGAGAGCAGGCGACTAGGGAACAATCGGGAATCGGAGAGATTGGTTTATGTTAAATGGGTTTGGATCGGATTCGGGGAGGGGTTTAAGAGATGGGTTTTGTGCTTTTAAGTGCTAAAACCCGCGATTTCGCTCTTTAGACCACTTTTCGAGCAAAAGGCAGTTTTCTCCGCCAAAACACCCCGCTATCCCCTTTATCGGCGCGATGAAGCACCGCGACCGCGATTAGCAATTTGCCGCCTTTTACAATAGTCTTGCACCAAAACAAAGCACTTGTAACTGGCAAATGTGGCTCAAACTGCAAATACAATTAGCAAGTTGAGGAACACAAACACTTGCAATTGGGCGAGAGTGGCCAACTACTAAACAGTCTCACGTCCCTTATGAAGAATAATATTACAGGTTTAGAAAGGGTAAATTTGACAAAGCCCCCAACACTTTCGAGGTTCACCAAAAAATCCATAATAATTTGTTTTTTTCCATTAAATAGTAAAAAGACCTTTTTCCATGTAATCCTACAACGTTGAAAAGTAACCCTCAAAACAATGAAAACGTCAAGCCAAAAAAATTCTCTTTACCTTGGTGTACATTAAGAAAACATAGCTGATTTCTTGGGTATGCATTACGAAACCATAGTTGATTGTTGTCCGATAGTTCTATGTTTTTGGTTAGCCCTGTGTATTGTTATCTACTCATGTTTTGATGATAACCAAATCCCATAGGGTGCCACTAAATAGAGCTCTAATCTTTACAGAGTAAAAAGGAATTAAGAGTTTGTTTATTTTCATGGAATGCTCACACTAATACATTTAAAAGGTAGATCATGTCAAGAATTGTGTCACAACCAAAATGTTCAACCAAATAGAGATGCAAGGTTTGCTAATTGTAGGGCATATGTGATATTTCGAAGAAGATGGTGAAGGTTAAAAAACATATGATTTTTCCTTTGGTGTATTTACGTTTGAAGATGATATTAATTTTAACTGTGGTTACGACAACTATGTAAAGAGCTTTTGCTGCAATGAAGTTCATAAAAAACAAATTGCATAAAAAAATGAGTGGTGATAATTGACTCGATGATTGTTTTGTGATATTTTTCAAGAAAAATGTAATAGGCTGACTGTGTTCCTTTTCGAAGTATGAAAGCTCATTGGGAACCATTATAAAAAATTTAATTGTTATTAAGTATATGGTGACACCACTTCCAAGAAATCCTAGATCCGTAACTTCCCAAATTATTGGGGGGGTGAAATTTAACCTTTGACACCTATATCTCTTATGAAGAATAAAATGAATAATAGAAACACAGTTGACAGAAAGCTAAATATGCAAATTACAAACATACTAGAGGAGGTTATAGCTTTAACGAGAACCCAAGGAGGGACAATATCATGTAGCTAACCACATAATACTGGCTATGCAAAATTTTCAGTTTGTAAATCTCCCTGATCTACGTGTAAAATTCTTTGACCAGGGGTTACATCATTTACTCTATCATTGAAACTATGTTAATTTTGGAACCAAATGCATTCTAAGAGACCTCCCAAAAGCATGACTTTTCATCCATGTCCAATTTTAATGACCTGATGAGCATTTTTATTCCAAATTTACTTAAATTCCCTTGGCACTCGCAATACCTAATTTGCAGAGATCTTAAATTCCCTTGGCACTCTCAATACCTAATTTGCAGAGATAATACATCTCATTATCTCAACAGATACTCAGTCATTGCAATTGTGATGGAGAAGGGGGAAAAAGAATTACCTTTTCCTCCTCCGAAAACGGCATGCACAGGCTGCTTCCTCCCAAAGAGGCGTTTCCTCTGGGCATTGCGAGACACGAGACTGTCTTCCTCCTCCGAATCCGAAGAAGACGAAGAGCCTTTGTACTCATGGATCTTATCCTGGATCCTATCCGCCATAGACGCATGCTCAGCGGCTTCGGACATTTTCCCTCTAATCAACCTTCAAAAATTGACAATAATCAACACAAACAACCAAAATATAATAAAATTACAATAAAAATGCTCTGATCTATCCAAAATCTACAAGATCATTCGAGATCCGAGTAATGTCCAGTTATTAAAAGTGAAATTAGTTGCTTTTTATCGAAAAATCCTACCAAATTTATCAAAAATTTTGGAGAAATGTTTGCCGAAGAAGATCGCCCTCAGATAAATCAAAATAGAACTATAAGAATTGAGTAAAATAGGATCTACATACTTAATTTAACTACAAATGATATTTCCAAAGTTGGAGATAAAATAAAATCAATAGATATAATAAATCGGAGAAATTGCTAGAAAAAATTAGAGAAAATGCAACTCCGATTTATAGGCTAATTCGATCTTACAGTGTTGAGATTTGGGACAAAATTAGGGTTAGTGTTTCTTTTTCAAATCTCTCTCTCTCTCTCTCTCTCTCTCTCTCTCTCTCTCTCTCTCGCTCGCTCGTATTTGAAACCAAAACTGAAGCTTTGCAAACGGAAAATGATTAAAGTCGGGGCTACTTAATACCGTCCTTCCTTGAGATCTAACGGTTGATATTCATCCAATCTCGATCTGGCGGTGTACATCTCTATCGATGAAGCAACTTAACGGAGACGTAACCGAGCTGTTAAACTTAACGGCTGACACGTGGAGAAAATGGCGGGACTCGTGGAACGTTAAGAAACAACATGGAATTTGAAGTTAGAGAAATTACGATACGGTCCGTTACAAAGAATAAGCGGTGGTTATTTTCACTCCGGTCATGCGAGGATAAACTTGTAATTTTATGTATTTAATATATCCGATAATCAATATTTGGGTCTGAATTAAAGGCGGTTACTTTGGAGGCTGACGATGAAAACGTCGCCGCTCTCATCTGCTGCAATCGTTATCTTAAGATCGCAATTAATATTGCATTGGTTATTTTTGTTTGAGAAATTATGATAGCATTTTATTCAGATTGATATGTTAATGTTCTCAGGCCGTTTTATTTTATTTAATTCCTTTTTAATGATAATTCTTTTTTTTTAACGGTACATTTGGCATGTCAAAACAAAACAAAATAAAACGAGTCTGATGAATTAATAACTCAACAAGTGCAAATGATGAAATTAGTACTGAATTATTTTGTTTGGACGTGACTTCATCCTCATCTATTAAAGAGTGATTATGGTATAACTTAAATTTTAAATGAATAGCCATACCCAAAAGCCAAAAGTAGAAATGAAAAGAAAAATTTTTCTTTAAATGCTCCTCTCAAACATTTTCCCTCTTTTTTCAGCATCATTCTTTGTCATTCTAGTATTATGGTTATGTATTAAAATTTTAAAGTTATGATAAGAACAAAGGATTATAATTATATAATCTAACATACCCGTAATAGAAGGAGGACCTTTTTATAGACCAAAATTTGAACTCATAAAAATTTATTTTAATTTATTCATTGGCAGAACCAGTGCGGTTCATGATGCACGTGCCCCCTCGCCCCAACCGGCCTAGTCCCTTCCCCAGCACCGGCCGGTCCGGCCCTAACCGAGCTTCATTTAATTTTTAATTGGAAGTGATACAGTGGAATTTTGATACAACGGATGAGAAGATATACAATTCAAATGTAGGTATGTGTTTACCCTTCTTCTCTATGTGCTATGCTTAATGGTCGCAATTATCAACTATTATAAACATAAATATCTAAGCACAATAGCCTGTTATAAGTTCATATATTTTCTCCGTAGCCCATTTATAATTTAGACTACATAAGATTACAATAAAAGTACACCAGTACGTGTAAACTTTAAATTATGTAACCCCCTAGACAATGAGAATAGATAATGAATTATAAGAAGTTATTGAAGAGTGGATTTAATTAATTATCTAATTAAAATATAAGATTATGAAAATAGGTAATAAATGATTTCTTATTAACATATATCAAATTTAATATTTTTGAACTATTAGTTATGATGCAATTACGCAATAATTTCGAAAAAAGTATGGATTTGGCATGATTGTTCCAATATTATGTCAAAGAATCATGTCATAAATTAGATCAAAACTCTATAGTGGCGATGAAGATAGAGGGCTATAATTTTATACAAACATTCAGCTACGCAGCCCTTCAAACTAAGAATGTGGCATGATATTTACATACTAAATGTTTATCTTTTTCGAAGACATTAGTTAATCAAATTCAGACAGTATCATCATTCTGGCTGCATTTATCGAATGGATCAAGCATCATTCAAGATTACAATTCATCCAACCCTGTGCTAAATTATTCATTCTAATTTTTCCTTCAAAATTAAAAGATTTCTTTTTCCGAATGAGATATATATAATATCATAGCAACACCAATGCACACTCTCTTTGTTGGGGTTGAAACAACACGACAACCCGTGCCCTTTCGGATCTTGTGTCGAAAGTATAGAAAGCAAAAAATCGCAGCAAAAAAAAACTTGTAAGAAAGAATAAACGAAGAGAGAACACCAGATTTAACGAGGTTCAGCAAACGTGCCTACGTCCTCGGGAGCCACACCAGAAAATTCCTTTATGATTGAAGAAGATTACAATGCTCACGATAGACTTCTCTCTCTCTAAGATCTCTGATCTCAAAGTTTCTCTCAAAACCCTCTCTTTCTTATGTACAATAAACCCTGAAAACGTTTCAAGGTTTATATATAATCCTAGTTTAAAACAGATTCCAACTCAAACCAGGAAAGCCAATATACCGCTATCAGTCGAGTGGTGCACATGCATCAGTCGACTATCCAGAACGTGATTTTTTATAAGGTCGCTCGTGCACGTCTATCCGTCGACTGGTGGCACATAACCAGTCGACTGATGAGCTCCTACCAGTCGACTGATGATCTCCATCAGTCGACTATCCAAAACATGGTTTTCTAGGTTATTTCCTACAGTCATGTCGGTCGACTGATTCAGGATCTTCGATTGACTGATGCTAGGAGTTCCAGCTGTTTGTTGATTTTATCTTCAGGTTTCGGTCTATACACATCCAAAACCAACAATCTCCCACTTGGAGACGAAATTACCATCAACGAGCTCTCCTAAACTTCCGCCATCTTCGCAAGCATCTTCTCCTCCCTCGAAAAAGTTTCATTCTTCAATCAATATCAATCTCGTTGATCCCACCTCCTCCTAGTGTGGCTCTGTCCTCATCTCCTACGCATGAAGGGCAACTGAAGTTGCGCACAACTTTAGTTTATCAATGGTCACTGTTTTTATCAGCATATCTGCAGGATTTTGGCTCTCCAAAATCTTCTCCAATTGTAACTTCCGGTCCTCTATCAGCGAGTGTATGAAATGATAACGTACATCGATGTGCTTCGTTCTGGCATGATATACTGGATTCTTGGCAAGGTGTATAGCATTCTGGATATCATAATAAAGAACTCTGTTCCATCGCTTCAAACCCAACTCTTCCAGGCACTCAGTCAATCAAATCATCTCCTTGCTGGCTTCAGTCACTGCGACATACTATTCTACAAACATAAGACCCAGCTCACTGTTGTCGATGCTAAAGTATAAACATACCCAGTGGTACTTCGCCTCGTATCATGATCACCGACGAAATTTGTATCCACATATCCCTGCAGTACCAATTCTTTTATCCTGAAACATAGTGGCATAACCGTAGTCCTTCTCAAGTATCTCAATATCCACTTCATGGTCTTCCAATGTTACTTCCCCGGATTGCTTGCAAACATGCTCACAACTCCCACTACATGAACGATATCTGGCCTCATGCAAACCATCGCGTACATAAGACTATCACTGATGAATATGGCACTCTGCTCATGTGCTCCTTCTCTGCATCTGTCTTGGGTGATTGCTCTTTCCTTTCTCCCAAAACACAATGGCATATCCGTAGTTCCTCTTAAGTAACGTAAAATCCACTTCACGGCCTCCCAATGTTGATTCTCTAGATTACTTGCGAACCTGCTCAAAACTCTCTCTGAATCGGCAATATCCAGCCTCGTACAGACCATTGCGTACATAAGACTACTAATAGCTGATTAATATAGAACTCTTCTCATGTGATCCTCCTCTACATCCGTCTTCGGTGATTGTTCCTCAGATAACCTGAATTGACTTTCAAGGGGCGTGCCAACGGGCTTAGCATTCTCCATGTTGAATCTCTAAAGTACCATCTCGATGTATTCAACCTGACTCAACTTCAACGTCCCTTCAGTCACATTCCGACTGATTCGCATCCTAAGAATTTACTTTGTTGCACCTAGATCCTTCATAGCAAACACCTTCACCAACTGCTTCTTTAATTTATTTATCTCCTCTAAATACGGTCTTGCAACTAACATGTCATCAACATACAATAATAACACGATATAGATGGACTCGAACCTCTTGAAGTAGCAACAATAATTTGAATTGCATCTTCCATAGCCATTGCTCTGCATGAAGTTATCAAACTTCTTGTATCACTGTCTTGGAACCTGTTTCAAACCGTACAAGCTCTTTTTGAGCCTACACACTATCTCTTCCTTTCCTTTTTCTATAAAGCTAATAGGTTGCTTCATGTAGATTTTTTTATCTAAGTCACCATGAAAAAAAGTAGACTTCACATCCAACTGCTCAAGGTAGAGATTTTCAACAGCTACTAAACTCAACACCACTCTGATGGTTGTAAGTTTCACAACGGGGGAAAATATCTTTATATAATCCACTCCTTCTTGTTGTTAGAACTCTTTCTAATTTGGCCTTGTACCTTTTGCTTCCATCACTCTCCTGCTTGACCCGGTAGACCCATTTATTACGTAAGGCTTTCTTCTGTGCAGGTAGGTGGGCTAACTCTCGTGTATCATTTGAGTGTAGAGAATCTATCTCTTCTTCCATTACATGCTCCCACTGTTGAGATTCACTAACTTGCATAGCCTCTTCATATCACTCTGGTTCTCCGTTATCTGTTAAAAGCAAGTAGTCAAGTGATGAAAGATATCTGATATTCGGTTTGGATACCCTGGATGACCCCCTAAGCTCCTCGCCCTGGGTAGTCGTCTCTACACATAGAGTCGTCTCTATTCTTCGGTCAGAATTGACATTGTCTCTTTCATCTACAAGTTCCTCTAAATTCATGTACTCGGATCCAACTGCATCCTTAGTATTGCTCCCATACTTCGGTTACCCTTGTCATTGTCCCTGTTCTTGTACATCAGCTCCTCATTGAATATGACGTCTGTGCTCCTGATGATTTTTTGATCTTCTCATCCCACAGACGATACCTGAACTTATCAATGTTGTATCCAATGAATGTACATTTTAGTGACTTAGCTTCTAACTTATCCCTGACATGGTCACTGATATGAACATATGCCACGCAACCAAATACTCGTAAGTGTGAGAGATTAACTGTCTTGCCACTCCAAACCTCTTCTGGAATCCCAATGTTCAATAGAACTGATGGCCCATGATTAATCAAGTAAGCTGTTGTATGCACCAC